TGCCGTCTAGCACAACACGCTCTGAATCGAAAGTCCACCCCCCAAAAACAGTTCAGTGTAAATTATATCTAAATAGACTCACTTCAACAACAACGAGATGAGAATGACTCCAATGGGGCAAGTGGTCGGAAGTTGCATGCACGTAGCACCCAGCACACGTAATCGCGTGCGACAGATGCGTCGTGAATATGGGACCCGCAGTCGTTGATTCTGACGTGAGTTTGGCCGGAGCAGTAAGCATCGTACTACAGCGTTCAGCTGATTGCGTGTGCTATTATTGAAGAGGGCGGTCTGCTGTCAACTTCTGTGGTCGTGGCGTTGCTCTTGGTCTGTACACGCGTTGCAAGCAGCTTTCCTGGCGATGTCATTCCTCGCCAGGTAATAGCTCCACCAACGTGGGGCTGGTTGCCCTTACCCATGGCACCCCCGAGACCCCCAAGACGCAGCGATGGAATTCCGTGATTAGAATCCGAGTGGCTCTGCTGCGTGGTGCTTTGTACTGGACGGCGATGTCGGTACACTTCCTATCACCGAGGTCATAGAGCGCCACTGAACTAGAATGCAAACACCTTTTCGATGAGTGCGTCGCTTCGTTCGGCGTAGTGTGCCTGGTGGACCCAACGAGGAATCGGCAGCCCAGCAACAGCGGTATCGTCTTTTGTGATTCCACACGGCCTTCACTCTGGATACTATTTTCACCAATCACGTGCGTCTAATTTACATGGTCAAGTTTGATTGGCCACCAGGCGAGCGTCATGCCCGCCTGTAGGGTCAGGTAAGCAGGACGCACAGAGTTTGGGGCATGCCCATTCTTTGCAACAAAGCGCATGGGTGGTGTGAGATTCGGCAAACGGAGGCAAAACTGGGCACAGCAGGAATCCGGCCTTCGCGCGCGGCTCGACCACAACAAATGTTGCAGGGTGCCTCGACGGGTGTTGGATTCATTCATTAGATGACTGGAGGCATTGAAATGTATTCAACCGGGTGCTTCTCGTCAGTCAGCGACGAAAAACTCTTTCACGAGCATTTGATGGCGCATGGCGCTAACGTTACAGTAAACGCGGGCGCGGAATGGTAGGAACGAGCTGCGAAGCAGCGCACATGCTCAGAGTACCGATGCAGAAACGCGCGAAGAGCAGCTCAGATTTTGTGTTTCAAGCAGCCTCGGGCTTCTCGACAGTCGCAACCAAAGGAGATGCCCGTCCCATCCATTTTACATCACCGTGATTGCAACTTGCTACAAACTTCTGCTTCGTATCTGGCAAGATGCAAGAAGCAAAGAACTTGTGCGTCCAGCAAGCACATCTTTGCGTTTTGTTGAATGCCGTAGCTTGTCGCTAAGGTCGCTCTACCAGTCACGACACTCCTTGGCATGGACCCTCGGCGTGTCTCCAAGCCCAGTGTCCGCGCACACGGCATCGTCGATTGCTTTCTCTACTTGGCACCGCCAGAACGCTTGGTGTGATGAGCGCAGCTGCACGGTGTCGGAGTTTAATGCCAAGGACGCGGCGCCGCAGTCGGCAACGACTCGCTTGAGCGTCGCGATGACTGGATTGACCCCGTCCGTTCGAGTCAAAGGAAATGATAAGCTTAAGTCGAATCCCATGGTTGCTCTCCACACACAAGTAGTACGCTTTTTGTGTCGTCTGAGGAAAGCCAGCCGCCTGGGTACCGGTATGTGAGGGCGTCATGAGACCCACAAGATAGGCGAGAGCGCAGAGCCATATAACGATTGCAATCGCTATATTCCGACGGCGCTCCTGGACTATCAACCCGAGCCAAGATGCTTCATATTCAAACCCGTAGCGCCACGCCTGCACCAATCACCGTGCGCGCACGCTCCATTCGACGATGTGATTGGCCGCCAGACGATGCTGGATTGTCGCCAGACCAAACCGACGCGGCGAAGCCGCCGCCCGGCATCCACATCTACCAAGCTCTACTCCAAGCGAAGCTACGACGAGGACCTCAGAAGCCAAGACGACTTTGCCTCACGCCGCGTCAACGCGCCCCCGACAGCGACCGACGACGCGCTGCTGGGTCGCGTCGCTCGAGAGCCTGCTGCACCTGGGCTCGCACGGCGTGACGCGCAAG